TTTATAGTAATGCTACTAGTGGAGACATGTGCCATTATACATAACTAAACACTCAAATAATTTGCAAAATAAATAAATCAATCAATGAATATAAAAAAATACTTTTGGTTATTTCTATCAATCTTAACTTTCTCGATTTTTCTGTTATTTAATTACTTTTACTACTCAGGATTTAAAAAAAAATATTTTAATAATAGCAAAGTGCAAATATTGGACTTAAAAAAAACTGGTAGAAATATTTGCTATTATAAATGTACAGTGGAATCTCGCTTAACGACCACCTCGCATAACAAGCATTTCGCTTAACGATCAAAATGAATTGCGACGTTTCGCATAACGGGTGACGATGAGAAGAGAAGTCCTTGTTTGCGCGCCTGCTACATCATTTTTAAAACTTGTGTACACATATTATATGTATTTTTGAATATGTTTCACTATACGAGTAAAAATCCGGAAATTTTGGAACGGATTAAACTGAATGTATTATGTATTAAATCTAATTGATAAAGTATTGTAATCACAAAAAATAATTCAGAATTTGTATAGATTTAAAAATTATGTAGTTTATTGAATTTAGTCATAAAAAAATCAATATTAATCTAGCTCAAATCTGAGATAATTTTATTTTGATTAACAAGAATGATTCAATTACGTCTGAGAATCTAATTAAAATCAAAATAATTATATAAAACAATATAATTAGATCTATTATCAGGCGATTCCCAGTACATTTAGAAAATGAGTAATGAATCCAAAAAAAAATGCAAAACGTAATAATACAGTGATTGTAGTTTCGTTAGCATCAGAAAATAAAGCGCATTGTTTTTTATCCTAATTGATTTCAAGAATACAAATCAAATTTTGGAAAAAAAATGAAAATAAATTTTGTAATAAATACAATGGTTGGGAGATAACTACAACGTTACGTTTTAAAGGGATTAGTATTGTTCTATTGTACTGTTACATACTGTTACAGTATTAAGAGTTTTCGGTTATTTCTATGAACTTTCACGATTTTTCTGTAAAATAATTCAAAGTTATTTCTGAGACTTTAAATAACTTTTTATTTAAGTGCAAATATTATTCATTTTATAACATTTTATCGCTAGTAGAATGATGTGGTTATAAAAATGATGTGGTATTATTTAGTAATAAATATTCTGATTTTTTTTGAAAAAAAAATTGTAATCACAAAAAAAATCAAATTCAAGAACATTTGCAGTCTTTATTCAATATATTTTATATAGATTTAAAAATTATGTAGTTTAGTGAAATTAGTCATAAAAAAATCTAGCTTAAATTTGAGATAATTTTATTTGAATTGACAAGAATGATTCAATTAAACTATGTCTGAGAATTAAATAAAATCAAAATAATTATATTGTTTTAAATAGATCTTTTATCGAGCGATTCCCATTACATTTTGAAAAAGAGTAATGAATCACAAAAAAATATATAAAACTTAATAATATATTTTTGTATTTTCGATAATAGCAGAAAATAAAGTGCATTGTTTTTGACCCTATTTGATTTCAAGAATACAAATAAAAAATTTGAAAAGAAAGTAGTAAATATTGTAATAAATACAATGGTTGGGAGATAACTGCAACGATCGGTTTTAGTGGGATTAGCATTGTTTTATGTATGCACTCGATACAAAATCTATTACGTATTGCGTATGACAATGGACTCACCTTTGGATTGATCTAATGAATAAAAGCGAGAAGTAAATAACATTAAAAAAACACACAATAAACGGTGTTTCGAGATTGTTTTATTATGCTGTGCAATTCTTAAGGTATTTCCATATGTGGGCAATCGTCTGTCCGCAAATTCTCATCGAAATTCGCTAGAATTTTCACCTTGACCCGAAGATGAGAATACCGGACTTATGAGTGTGTAAATGTATCAATATCCTGAATAATTTAAAACGTGTTTTGTTTATTGATCTTCTCGTAAGTAGGAAAATGTGTGCGAAAATGAATTATTGATTTTATGATGATGAAAACAATAAAGTTAATGGAAATGATGACGAGTATTCCAAAATTTTCGCTTTCTCGGATGATCTGTGACGTATGTTTTTGCATTAGTGGCTCTGGGAAAGTGGGAAAATTCGTTTGTTTTCATTTTGGAGATGAGGTATTCTTTTGGGCGATGAAAAGCGCGTTTCAGTGGAAATGGAGATTTGGAAAAGAATGTGAATCAGAGCTCATCCAAATGTTTGAGAGTTATTTGCGCCTGTTGTTGGCGCGAGCGTACGCTGCGCGCAGGATAATATATAAGAGTGGCGCGTCGACCCACAGGCTCAGTATTCAGCAGGATTACATAGACTGCAAATACAGAGAACTCTAGTGACTGAATTGTTCAAAACTAACACATCTAGTGCAACGTATTGAAAGTGTTACACACATCCATAAGGAGTACTTACCCACCCACCTGTGTGATTTATCTATATAATTTTGATCTTGTCGCGTTGATGAGTTGAAATGTTGACGGAAGATAAGACTGTTACCCTGCGAAGGGTCGTGCCTTGTGATCTGGCCTCCGAGGAAGTCGGCCGCATCCCACCGGCAGCCGAAAAACTCTTCGAATCCGTACCTTGGCTTACAATCATGACAGACATTGCAATCACAGCTGCTATTGCTGAACTTAAGGTATATATCATCAACGCGATTGAAGCAATAACCATACATCATCTACTATTACTACTAAGACTACCGACTTATTTTACAACGCATACTTTCTTCACTTTCTACATGAATTTTAATCAAGAGATTTCTTCGGAATACATTTCAAACAAAATCATAAAATAAGAATTTAACAACGTTTTTTTTATTACTTCTTTATTTAATTAATCATTTTTTTCAAAGAAAAATCTAATTAAATCAAGTACATGAAAAGTACTAATTAGTTAAATCTATAATTTCTCACTAAAGTTTCTTAAATCAATTATATAGATCATTTTTTAACAGCAAAATCAAACATTATTTAATGTAAAATTAATTAAAGCCATAAAAAAAATTATAACGTCATAATTGCATTTTTGGAAATTTTGGACTAATTCAAAATTAATTTGCGTCGAATTTTCCAAGTTTGAAAGCATGTATAGATTTTGAGAACTTGAATACATTCCGAGTATTTTCCATCATTATCGTGAGGAACGAAGTATACATAAAGTGAGATCGTTTGAATTTCGCGTTTAACTAGTAAGTTTATTCGCATTTGGCAACCGTCTTGTTTTAACTACTTAAAGGAATTCTCCGTTTCAATATTTGTCTTACTTTAACAAAGTTTTTGATTCGTTTTTGATGTTGAACGGTCTTAATTAAATGCAGTCCAAGCAAATTGCAATCGTTTTAACAAATAAACACCTGCGACGTTAATTTCCTAACCGCGGATCTCGCTTTACCATCTATACAATTTATTAATTAATGTATTCGCGTTATGCAACGATCCACAAGTCAGGTCTACCATTCTCGGGCTGTTGACTCCCATTTATTTAACGCATTATGCCGTATTTTCGATTAACGTTTCTTCTGCCGCTCCTTCCCCGTTCCTTCGGCCACGGAAACGCCGCAACGGTTACGCAAACCGATTGGAACTAATGGGGATCGTTGCGTTGCGCAAATCCGATCTCTATATGCAATTTCATAAACTTCGAGAAATTGCTGAACAGGATTTGCAATTGCCAATACTAGTGTATTAATACGCTGTCCTTAGACCCTTCCGTATCCTGGTTTTTGTTGCACAGCTGTTGAGATTTAACGTGTTTCTTTCTTTTATGTTTTTGTAACGCTCCAATCAGCGGCGCGATTTCAAGATTAACGAAATAGTTAATTAAATCAATTGATTGAGTGCATCATGCAGCGCGCATATTTTGTCGTTGTTTGCATAATAACTAAATAATAATTGAAATTTGCTGGAGCTGTTGAACTTGGAACCGCGTACTCCAGTTTTCGGTTGTCAATGGAGATTATGGTTTCGAAGGGAGGCAGTGATAAGCCTCGTGGGATTAATTAAATTTAGTTGATTCTACATTTACCGGTCTCCATTCAATCAGTTGTTTGTTACTTTTCGGACATCCAATTATCGTCCGGATTTATGGTCTCAGTGTTTTACGTCACGACGATTGGGAAATTATCAAAGGCTTGTTAAAAGCCGGTGTATATCTATATATCTATATTTAAAAAATATATATATATAACCGAGAGATTCTCTGTTGTTGGCAAACAAACAACTGTCCTGCTGTTGCTGGGCCTTCTCCTTCTCTTCTGCTCTCATCTGATGAGTGTGTTTAGGGTACAAGTGTTAAGGACGACCATGGCTATAATTGAATTTATGGCGTTTAGCGTGCATGTTGTAAGTCCGAAATAAACACACTTTGTCGCCGAATTAAAAGTTGCTGAAATCGATTAACAATATCTTATTTTTTTGTTTGTTTGTCTCCAGTTAGGAACAATTTGCGATTTTGTTCAACTTTCGAATTTAGAAACTTTTGGTCGACTTTAGTTTATTTTGTTTAAATTTTACTTCGATTGGCTGCGGGTTGTGTGAGTAATGTCGCACGTCGCGGTTTCCGATCCTGATTAGTGAGGATTAACTCATTACGAAGAAACTAAAAATAAATTCGTTAGAAAGCGGATAAACAATGGTCGATGTTGTTAAGCAGTTGAGTAAACGAAACGTAAATCGCACGTACCGGCAATTAATTCGCATTAACAGAGAAACAAAAGAAGGAATTCGGAATCGCAATTAGAGATAACGGGCCGGACAGATAAAGGATTCTCCAAGGACGTTGCCGTAGATGCATTTAAGCCTGTCGGCAAATAGTTCATCTTAATTAATAATTGCTCAATGCGGCTCAACCTATTGTGTTTCAACTCGTAAATTATCAAATTGACAAGTTTAATCCCTGTTAATCGCGCGCTTATTATATCGTATTTTCGGTTTCTGTATGTTTGATAATTTAATTAATAATTTTTATTTTTTTCTCGTTTCAGTTCAAAAGGATGCTCAACAAGGAGCTGTCGCACTTCTCGGAGTCCAGCAAATCGGGAAATCAAATATCAGAGTACATCTGCTCCACTTTCCTCGGTTAGTACCGATTAACTTTTCATGATTATGATGATACTTATGATTTTTTTTTCTTTATTTCACTTATAGATAAACAACAAGAGTTGGATATACCATCATTGCGCATCGATGAAGATAGCGAAGCAGTATCCAAGGCGGCTCCACGCAAGGAGCGTCCTAGGGGTGCGCACACCACGATGTCCCAGATATCGGGGGTGAAAAAGCCGTTGTGCCACACGAATTCGTTCACTGGTGAACGTTTGCCGATGCACGGTGTTGAGACACCCCATGAGGAAGATTTAGAAAAGAGTTTGGTTGATATCGAGAGATGGGGTGTGGACATCTTCCGCATCGGCGAGCTGAGCAACGGCAGGCCGTTGACCTGCATCGCTTACACTATCTTCACATCGCGCGATCTGCTGAAGCACATGCTGATCCCACCAAAGACCTTCATCACGTTCATGATGACCCTGGAGGATCACTACGTGAAAGACAACCCGTTCCACAACTCGCTGCACGCAGCCGACGTTACGCAGAGCACTCACGTGCTCTTGAACACACCAGCTTTGGAGTCGGTGTTCACTCCTCTAGAAATCACTGCGGCTCTATTCGCCGCCTGTATCCACGATGTCGATCATCCCGGCCTGACCAACCAATTCCTCATCAACTCCAGTTCTGAGCTGGCGCTGATGTATAACGACGAGAGCGTCCTCGAGAACCACCATCTGGCCGTAGCGTTCAAGCTACTGCAGAACGAGGGATGCGACATCTTCGCCAACCTAAGCAAGAAGCAGCGCCAGACACTGCGCAAGATGGTCATCGACATGGTCCTAAGCACAGACATGTCAAAGCACATGAGCCTTCTGGCCGACCTTAAAACTATGGTCGAGACTAAAAAGGTAGCCGGTTCCGGCGTCCTCCTGCTCGACAACTACACAGACCGCATCCAGGTGCTGGAGAACCTGGTGCACTGCGCGGACCTGAGCAACCCAACCAAACCGCTTGCTCTGTACAGGCGATGGGTCGATCTGCTGATGGAAGAGTTCTTCCAGCAGGGCGACCGCGAACGTGAAGCGCGCATGGACATCAGCCCCATGTGCGATCGCCACTCGGCGACCATCGAGAAGTCCCAGGTCGGCTTCATCGATTACATCGTGCACCCACTCTGGGAGACCTGGGCGGACCTCGTCCATCCAGACGCACAAGATATCCTGGACACCCTCGAGGAGAACAGAGATTGGTACCAGAGCATGATCCCGCCGAGTCCGCCTGCGGAGGAGGTGCCGGACCCCCAAAGACCCGGCATCCGGTTCCAAGTAACGGTTGAGGAGGGCGAAGAGGCTCCGATGTGACGGAGGATGGTGAGCCTCTGCAGGAAGCTGACCGAAAAGGTGCAGCAGTGGTGGCGTGTGCGGCAATAAGGCGCTGGCGCCCCGCACCGCCACCCCGCGCTGGCGCGGCCTTTTGTTATACATAAATATAAATTATATAATATATAAAGAAAACAAAAACAAAAAACAAAACAAAAAAAAAACAGAGAAAAAGAAGAAGTAATATATAATCGCTTTTGACTGAATCTCGTGTCCCCTGGGAGTTTATTATGTTTATTCTGTCCCATGCCTTACCATGTAGTAGATGAGGTGCCCCGCTCTCAGTACTGATACATCTGTATATATTTCATATTGTCTGTTGGTGTAATACTCAGCCCCCCCTTTCCCCCATATATGTATAGATACTACGTGTCATGTCAGCTGATGTACCACAAGAATAAAGCTCTCTCCATTTTAATGTCTACAATTTATTTTGTATTATTATTACTATGTTATTCTCTAATTTTACCTTCCCAAATTGGAAGCAAAAGAAGCAGCAAACAACAACAGATAGTCTTGTTTATTATCATTGGAAGAGAGAACAAACAAATTTTCAAATCGAATTGATTCGGTTTCTTTTAATTGTCTTTTAATTCTTTAACAAAAAAAACAAGGGAATTTGTCGTAACTACAATATCCTGTACAAATTCGACTAATCCTACAGTACGTAGTATCTAATTTGCTAAAATACCAAAGAGAGAAAAAAATAAATAAAATGCTCTGAGATATATACCTTCTTATAAACAAAAAAAATAAATAAAATAAATTCATGTTAGTGCGTGATGTATTTATAAACAAATATATATACTACTCTGTTTTTAATTGCGTAGCATACGAAAGCACACCACAAGTGTAAACTTAGGAAAGAAACTTTGATTAGGAGAGAACTTCAAAGCCACATTTAAAGAAGAAGAAAAAAAATAATGATATATATATGATATGATATATGATAATGAATATGATGTTTTTTGCGTTTGTACTATTCCTCCTATTACTATTATTATTCGATTTTCGGAAAGTTCATTTTATTTTACTTGATTTTTCTTTTGACTGACTTGCGATGGAAAACTGAATTAATTGTATTGTGTTGATCCTACAAATACGAAAGCAATTGTAACTACTTTACTGCGGTTAGTTGTATGTTATATATAAAAAAAACTTATGTTAAGTAAATATATATATACGATGATGAAGTTTGGGGAAGCTCAAGACTAATCTTTAGACTAATGCGAGCGAGGGCAGTTTGTATTTGTAGGATAATGACGATTTTATTATTGAAGTGTGTATTATTGAACTTGTATTTGACATGACTATAATATGATAATAAAGTTGGTTTTCTTCTACGAAACGTCTCTTTCAAAACACACACACACATCTATCTTTTCCTCAGATCCAAATTACTTATTTTCTATTTTGATCGTGATATTTATTGGGAAAATACACGCACAATTTATTATTTATTTGTTTACAAGCTCTACTATATATTTTTTTCTTCTCTTTATACGTATGTGCGAAATTGTCGACAATAACACGCAACAATTAATTCTATTTTTATATCTATTGAACTTGGAATTACAACAGAAATTAAAACAACCTTCGCACACAAACACATTGTTATTTCTGTTTTCAAAGACGTATATTTTCCTCCAATCTATTTCTTGATTATAATTCAAAAAGATGTAAGCTATTATTAATTTACACTTGATGTACGAGAACTACGGATTCTTTGTAACCGAAAATTTCAGCACAACAAAATGATAATATAAAAGCCCTTTTGGCATCCTCTAATTGGGAACGAACAAAGCAACTTTCAATTCAGAATACAAAAGATCTAATCAATCTGTGCGAAAAATCGTAATTTCTTCATAAGAATATTCTGTAACATACTTATTGAAGTGATGCTTTGATTTTCGAAATAAATAAAAAATAGATATTAAAGAAAAGAACATATTTATTTGCTCTTAATTAAACGGTTATACAATGTAAATAGTAAATATACAATTTTATTATTTTCTGTTCTTCCGGTCATCCTCTGAATCAGAAAAATCCCTCCTCTTAATTTTATTATTTTCTATTCTTCCTGTGCTTCCTCTTCCTATCCTCATCTGAATCAGAAGAATCCCTCCTCTTCTTAATTTTCTTCTTATGTTCCCTCCTCTCAATTTTGTTCAATTTTCTAAAACATTATACAAATAATTAATTAAAGTCGTTTAATTGATTTTCGTCAACTTACTTGAGCAGAGCTTTCTTCTGTTTCGTGTTCAACGCGTTCAAAAACGTTTCTTCAGCGTTCGGATCTTCTTCAGCAATCATCAAATTTGCTGAATGTCCATTCTGAATATGCTGCTTTTTCAAAGCCAACCCATTCTCCAACATCTGTTGCACCAGAGAGTTCTCATCCAAAAGTGGCCCAGCTTCCAAAGATCTTGCAGCACTCATTGAGAGACTGTAGATAGGACATTCTTTGTCTGCAAACAAATAAATATACAAAGTTAGTTTTAACCTCTTTGTTTATACAATAACTTTAAAATCATAATTACCTGTGTTGATGTGACCCCACTTGTGACATTTTATACATCTCACATTCCTAACTTGTATACCAAAAGGTTGATCACGGATTTCCTGGTCACCTTTACAATAGCTCTCTCTTGGAGCATTGTATTTCCTCTGCCACTCGAACTTGTATTCAGGTTCATCATCTTCACGTTCCCTTTCCTTCTTCACACCTGGTGGTGGCTCGTACATGAAGTTTATACTCAGTTTATCTTTGCTATCTTTACTAAGCATAGCTTTGTTGTCATGCAAATCTTGTTCCTTTTCATATTGTTGTCTTAACTCCTCCTGCTTCTTCTTGTAGGCCTCAGCCTTCTGTTCTGCCATCCATACCTAAATACACAAAGTACAGGGATAAGTTTTTGCTATGTATGGAGAAGAAAAAATACTACTTACTCGCTTCAAATTGTCTCTGGAAGCTGGATGGAAGAACTTCTTACACATGTAATTGTTGAAACCTTTACCCATCTTGGCGATTGGTTGTTGTCACACTGCTTGAATGAAATAAACTGCAATACCAAAGAATTGCAAGATATAAACAAGAATACTGAACAATGTTTATTTCACAACCAATCGCAACTGAACTGAACTGTCATAATACAGGTTTGCAATATAAATATACTTACATTATTTTGTTGGTAACGGTTAAAGCTCATGAACGTATAGTTCTGGATACTCAACTACAGATGGCGCTGTTTTTATGTACAGGGTGATCAGTTAACTAGCATTGCTACCCGAATTGTTCCTTAACCGATTTAAGAAACGTTATAAAAGGTGGCCGTAGCCGTGTGGCTATGGTCACGATCACTAATTGTACATAGCTTTTAAATGAATGAATTCAAATTCTATTTAAAATTACTTATTTTTTAAATATTATTGAAAGATGAATGATTGAAGTAAGCCAAATGGAAGTATTATTGAAAATGTAGTGTACTTGTCCGAACTGTTTGTTCACCAATCATTTTACACAGATTTTAAATGAAACAATTTAAATTTTACTTAAAATTACTTATTTTTTTAATTATTATTGAATCTTGAATGATTAAAGTTAGCCAAGTGGAAGTAATATTGAAAATGTGTTGTACGTTGTCCGAACTGTTCGTTAACTGAATATTATACACAAATTTTAAATGAATGAATTAACATTTTAATTAAAATTACCTATTTTTATTTATTATTGAAACTTCAATGAGTGATGTTAGAAAAGTGAAGGTATTATTGAAAATGTAATGTACGTTGTCTGAACTATTCTTTTACTGACCATTTTAGACAGCTTTTAATTGAATAAATTCAAGTTTTACTTAAAATTATCTAATTTTAAAATATTATTGAAACTTGAATAATTGAAGTTGACCATGTGAAAGTAATATTGAAAATGTAAAATTACCTATTTTTTAATTATTATTGAAACTTGAATGATCGATATTAGCCAAGTAGAAGTAATATTGAAAATGTAGTGTACGTTATCCGAACTGTTCGTTAACTGATCACCGTTGTACAGCTTTTACATGAATGAATTCAAATTCTATTTAAAATGACTTAATTTTTAAGTATTATTGAAATGATTAAAGTTAGCCAAAATGAAGTATTATTGAAAATGTAGTGTACATTGTCCGAACTGTTCATTCACCAACCATCTTACACAGCTTTTAAATGAAACAATTTAAATTTTACTTAAAATTACTTATTTTTTAATTATTATTGAATCTTGAATGATTAAAGTTAGCCAAGTGGAAGTAATATTTAAAATGTGTTGTATGTTGTCCGAACTGTTCGTTAACTGAATATTATACACAAATTTTAAATGAATGAATTCAAATTTTACTTAAAATTACCTATTTTTTAATTATTATTGAAACTTGAATGATTGATTTTAGCCAAGTGGAAATAATATTGAAAATGTAGTGTACGTTGACCGAACTGTTCATTGTCCGACCATTTTTAACAGTTTTGAAATGAAACAATTCAAGTTTTACATAAAAATACTCAATTTTTAGTTATTTAAATAAATATGAATGATTGAAGTTTTTCATGTGGAAGTATTACTGAAAAAGTAGTGTACGTTGTCCGAACTGTTCGTTCACGGATGATTGTAGACAGCTTTTAATAAGTTTTGAATAAGTTCTAATTTTACTTAAAATAATATTGAAAATGATTATTATGAAAAATAAATGTGTAAGTTTTAAATTAAATAAAATAACTAAACAATTGTGGGAATTAAAGGACATAAAAAAGATATGTGTCTAGTACATTTATTAAAACTTATAAATACAATATAATATTTATATATATATTTAATATTGCAATAATAACTAGTACTTATATAAATTTATCTATAAAAGGGAATATAAATTATAACAACGTTTCTTCATCTTCGTCATTTAGTTGTAATAGTAAATATAATAATAATAATAATGATCGATAAAAAATAAACAACTTAACAAAGCGTATATATATATAAATTATACAAAAAATATCATTTTGTTATCATATTCATTTAATTTTCTTCATAAATATTGGTCCATTAAATAAATTGTACTTTTTTATTTTTAATATATTTTGTGTGTTCCTCTGATGCAACGATTCGCAACCATTCCTGTAATAAAATCCGCATACGTTTTCGCAATAAGAAAATTTCAACAAAAAACAAAGAAAAAAATATTAATAATAACACAAATGAAAACGAAATAGAAAGAAAACAAACAAAAAATCATACGTTACGAACATTTACCTAAATCGTAATTACATTACATGTACATATATGTATAATATATTAATAATCTCCGTCATCTAAAAAACAGTAACATCGAAATCTTAATATTGCTCAAACAATTTCTTTCGAAGCACACGACTACCGTCCATTAAATACAACCGAAACGAGTCTCTAATCATTTTCCGTTTATTTTCTTTTTTATGTTTACCTCAAGCTTACAAACGTACATGTCTTCTCTCCATCAGTTTTGATTATAATACTTGAGCACATTATTGGCGCGTTCCTTATCAAATACGTTTCGTAATTCTAGAGATAGAGAATGAGAAAATAATAAACACAACTATTCGATTACATGTTTTGTATTATTATTATATATATATTCATATATAAAGAGTAAATTCTGGGGATCTACGTTTAATTTGGCATGTACAGAGTAGTGAGCTTAAAACATTTATTTTGAAAAAAGTTAAAGCTCTTATTTTTAATATTTCGAACGTTTTCGAATGTGTGACACGACTACAATAGTAGTGCATATAAATAGTTTTGGCCGAATTCGTTTTGTTGATCGATTTGTATATATTTATATTATACTTGTTGCTGTTCGTTCTTCTTGTTGTTTTTGTTGTCTTTTTTGTTTTGGTGATTCAGTATCTTTCGATGATTGGTTCCGAGGCTGGGGGTGCGCTCTCCGGCGCGATTCCCTACATCCGGTCATCCATGTAGACCATGGAGTCTCCTCGGAGGTTGGGAATGCGAACGGCGTAGGAGACGAGGATTCCCAACGCGATGAAGACGATGCCCAAGGTGTTCACGATTATGCTCTGCTCGGAGAACTTCTCGTAGTTCTCCCTGGGATTCAACCAATCAACACTATCAATCATCAGAATACCAAGGCATGGCAAACATGCAGAACTTACAAACAAACGATCAATCAAATAAATAACAACAAAAATTTTAGCATGCTAGATAATACAATTGAAATATAATAGAATTGAGTGGAAATGGAACATGCAGTCGTCGCATCCTCGATCGATCGTTGGACCTCGATTGAACGGAAATTATGATGTTGATGATTGTGGCTTTTGAGTGTCGGGTGTGTTTATGTGTATTGTTTGTGTTTGTGTATTTTGGATTTGTGTTCTGTATGGGGTGTTGTATTAGAGATCTCCGGAACGGATCAGGACGTGCGCCCTAAACCGGAACTCGTCCCGCTGCAGGATGTAACCTATCAGGATGGCTAATGCTATCAGCGACATGCCTATTGCATTCACAATGATGCCCTCCTCCGGCATTCGGCTATACGAGTTGCTACAAAAAACATACAACATAAAAATCATAAACAAATAAAAAACGAAGAATTAAGAAAAAAATAGAGTCATATGTAAATGGCAACGATCGAATAAGCAACTAGGTTTGAAAATGCACTGCATGCTCAGCGAAGCTAGTAATTAAATGGATGTAATGCATACTCAAGAGATACGAGTCCTTGGCACTTGATTATTTATTTTATTTATTTCAATATTTATTTACTTTTCATAAGGAAAGGAAGCTATTGCATAAGCATAAAGTAAAGAAGGTTTTCTTAGGACTTACCCCAATGTGAAGATGACCTTCTCGGTGAGTCCGGTCACGCAGGCGGCGATGGCGAGCATGAATGTGGTGAGGCCGAAGGAAGCGTGGATCGGTACCAAAGCCGCCCTAAAAGCGGACGTGGCACCCTCACAGCACAGCAAGACCAGGAAACTGAAGAACCCTACTACAAACTGCAAGAACAAGAAGAATATTGTTAACATCCATGGTCGATTGATCCGAGGGAATTTTTGCAAAGGAGTGCGTAAATTGAAAAAAGCTACTGCATCCACGTCCGCTCGAATTAAGACCAATTGGTAAATTAATCATTCAATTTAGTTTGTAATATTCGCTGTCACCGTTTCACAGACACGCACTTTGTAACGATATAAACACATAGATTCGATGGTATCGCACGAACATAAATTTAATATTTACTTAGATATTTCTGTCGATAAACAGAAAAATATGAAATTATATTACTATGTATAAATAAAACGTGTTTTCTCTGAAAATACAATAAACCCTCCTATAATGCTGTAACTCTCATAATGCAGTTTCCATATAACGCGATAGTCCTATAACACGATTCTGTTATAACACTGTATTGTGTCCAATCATTTGAAGTACATACCGACAGGAGCAATGACCTTATTACAATACCTTTTTATATATGAATTAATAATACAAGTTATAAGCACCAGACGCAGAGCAGAAAAAATCTCATCCAACGCCGATTCGGAGAATGTTAAAGAAAACGCTCAGTCGATTATGTACTTTACGTTAGGCTTAGTAGTATCGTTACTGGAAGAATAAACGACAAGTTAAGAATAAAGCTATATTAAACCAACTGGATTTAATTCCAATTTTCAAATCCTGAGACTCCACATCAAACAACAAAAGACAAGTGACACAGTGATTCGATTATAAATCCCTGGGACACGACAACTGTCTTTATATTATATAACTGATTTAGCTTAAGCACTACTTTGGGAAGAGACATTAGAACCTAAAGTTTAGATGAAGAGGAGTTGATGGTATTAAACCATAAATGTATCGGTGGACAAAAATATGGATAAGGCATGTGTTGACAGGAGACTTCATTAAGTAAATAAATAGAATTAGAAATGCGGGAAAAATTAATATAATCTGTACTAATTCTGAGTTTGTTATAACGCAGTATCAACTAATGACGTTATAGGAGGTTTCACTGTTAAAATTTTTGTCTGTATAAAATGTGCATCTTAAATATTAATATCAACAAACAAAAACCTGTTGTCTTTAAAAAGCATGAAAATATAAGACACTTTTAGAAATTCGATTAGGACTTGATTTTGTATATAATGAAGTTGCAGCATGAATTAATTATTAAATACTTGGAAATACTCTTTCGTTCAGTAACTGTGCTTGGTGGATGAGATTTCGTGGATTAATTCAATTCATAAATTCGTGGTCATTGTTATGTGAGGGTCGTCGCACGAAGAGTTGTAAAATGGTTGTAAACACGGTTGTAGCAAGGAGTGTGGGTCGTCTCTGACCGTTGACCAAGATAGTACAGACAGATAGTACGGACAGAAGAAGAAGCATAAAAGCGTTATTGGGCTTTACGCTCAATTGTATTATTTATAATTTTTGAGCGGAGGAATGTCTTCGATCGGAATCCCGTTACGCGACGCTTTATCGCCTCCTAGTATGCTAATGGTTGCGTAACCAACCAGTTCTCTTGCTCTCTGCCATGTAACACTGCTGGAGTGGCGATAGAAAAGAAAATAAGGATAATGATTTACATTTCGAAAGGCATGCATGCGTGTGTGTATGAACTTTTTTCTCTCTTAACGTCCGCACCTCTAACCTCCACCAACTGTGGATTATTTTCCAATTTTACCAAATTATTTGAGTTAAAAGTGTTTCGTTTTACTCATCAATATAGATTTGTAAACTCTAACTTGTTGTCTATATGCAGTCGATATTTGTTATTCAAAGAATGTCTAACCTTATAATAAGGTCACGTTGATATATTAAAATTGTGGATTAATTAAATTAAATTCCTATAAATTTGACTACTTTTCTTGTCATTTAATAATTATAAAAAGTTTACACATAATACAAAGTAATAATTGAATAAATTAATTAGAAGTTATTTTTCAGCATATATTTGAAATAAATAACTAAGATCAATTTATGTAAAAACTGCACCAAATATTTCACAAAACGTTTTTATGTTCTACACGGACTTTAAGTTATTTTCTACCATATATAATTAAGATAATTGCTTCAAAATATAAATGTACTTATTGTAATGGTATAATTGCAAGAAGCATGAATATACAAGTCAAGTAAAATGAACGTAACTTCTTATGTAATTATTGATTAAATTATGAAGTTTGTCATATTTTTAATTTGGAAATAGCATATTTTCTTAGTTATTAAGGTTTTACATTTAGTAAAAGACAAATTAGAATGCGCTATTCTCTTTGGAAATCTTTAATGCAACTGACATAAACACTCTAAAGAAGATATGCAAATAATGGTTACATCATTACTTAGTATTTATATAACTTGTTAGATGTCTAAATCAACTGATATTCTCTTCCAATCATTATAAATTATCGCGTGTTGCAACCAACGCTTTATGGAATTGATATGCAGCGTTTCTCAACCTTTTTGTCTCGCGACCTAATATATTTGACCCAAAGGTTGCTAAATACTCTTAGCTTCTCTCTTTGACATAAGGTGACAGCTGTCACGTGACCCATATGTTGAGAAACGGTGCTCATCTCTATATGTTATGATGAATCCACACAAAGCATCACATGAAACATAAACAACTGTGCAGGCGTATCTTCCACAATGTAGAACATTGTGTAATTCAATTATAACCAACAATACTCCTGTCAAACTTATGTTTATGTCCCTTGTCACAATAATTATTTTAGCATTAGTTAATCTAACTCTTATCAATATACAAATGAGTTCGAACCCCAGACCAAAATTACAAGAAACAATATATTGTGCAAGTGTATAAGTACTGTAATCATTAAAAGAACTTACAATTGGTTGTTATTTCTAATTAATGAATTGATTGGGTTTCTCCTATTATATTTATTTTTCTTATAGCATTCTTAATATTACGGTTAACTGACCTGTATAGCGAAGAGTCCCATGGTCACAAGTCCGATCCAGCTGTGCAGAGAGTAGAAATTCGGTATGGCTTCGGGCCTCTTTAGATTGTGCGTGTCCAAAACGGCCATAAACCCGATGGCGACGCACGGAATGGACAGAGCGTGGAAAACGGTGTGCAATAGCTTCACGTAGATCCGGCGACAGCACCTGCAGATTCTGTATAGAAGAATAGCTGAAAATGACCAAAACAACAAATACATAAAATATCGTCCATTTCGATTACCTGAATTACGTAAAATAATGTATTTGTGTTTCGGGAATATGAGAAAAATAAGCAGGTGAGTGGAGAACGGAGTGACCTGGAAATTGGATCGAACGTGAATTTCGCTCGAGAACGTTCATCCTCTCTTGCCTCCGGCAGTTTAATCCTTGGAAATTCGACGTTACAGCAAATATTTTCATTTGGCTGCGATGAGAAACATAAATAAATAAATAAATCCTAAAGGCTCCTTCCAGGAAACACCCGGGACTCACGTAATTGCGTGAATTAGGTAGTTCTGTTTCTTCGTCGGAGAAGTCGGTCTTCCTTTCTCCTTATATGTAAAACTCGCGCGGCGTGCTCTTAATGGCATCGCAAATAAAGCGCTTTCAGAAATTGGAAGTAAATGGTAGACGTACAATTTGTTTGGAAACCTCATTCCGAACGCGCAACTTCTGCAGTTTCATATTGAACTCAGCGACGCTCCAGATCCAATCCAATATACTTCAAACATTTGATTTCAAAAGTACAATCCGAATATTACCAGAAAAAAACAAAACTTCAAACAAGTTACTTTAAGAAATCATGAAAAAGAAAATTTAGATAAATACATAATATTCAAAATTTTAAAATCAGTCATAGAATATCAAAAATTGGTATTTCAAACGTGTTCTTTTTAGTAACATTTTCAGATAAATAAATTATATAATTGCTAAAAGTTGCTTTATCACCATCTAACATTTATTAATTTCCAAATCCGAAGAAATGTCTGAGTATAAAGTAATGAAATTTCCAACAACCTAATTATATTTTTTATTTAAGATTATAGCAACACTTTAGTGCTTTACTTAATTAATTGGTTGAATTTAGAAGAAGAACGTAATTAGCAAGAGTTGGAACACGTACATCCACGCAAAGCACACTACGAATAATTGCATTGCAATTGATCACTAATTTTGATTTAATCCACGTGTATACGATTCGCGTAATTTTTTTTTTGAAGATTTTTATGGATTTTTCCCAAAAATTGTATTTTTTTTTTCAAATTAAATCTATTTTTTCGTTATTCATGGAAAGTTGGAAATCTAAGACTAAAATAATTGTTGTATTTACATCTATTGAAGAAATCATGCAGAAATATGTTAATCCATTTTTTTAAATAAATAATTCATGACGAAATGTTAACGAACCAAAGTAATTATTGCATTTCAAAAATTAAACTATTATTTTGATCAATTCATGCAGAAATATGTAAATAATTGCATTAGAAAACTTCAAGAAAAGCTCTTTTCTATTTCTTGTTGAGTTGAAGACAAGGACTTTGTAAATTTTATATTAAAATGTGGACGTGAAAAGCTTTGTTTCAAAAGCCACGAAGACAAGGGCGGAAAGGGTCACTCGCTTCCGCCGATTTACTCCTCCAGTGCATTTATTTTTTTGCTCGTCGGGTGAATTGGATGTTTCATACACTATTCATGTCACATTTTCAATTACATTTTCTTTTGAGTTGTTTTAAAACAAAAATATAAGATAAAAGATTCTTTCTTCTCAGAAGAAAAATAATATGATACGACAAAATATTAAGAATTTACTTTGGAGGCATAAACAAGTCATCTAACTAGAATTTCCAATCATCAACAGTTCAAAAAATACATTTCTTTTAAAACCTAAATAATTGTAAGAAAAATTAAGAGAAGAGATTGTATTTCCTTAGTAGAAAAATAAGAGAGAACCAGAGGCAATGAAATAATAAGAATTTATCTTGTGGTCATAATGAAGTCATCTGAGTAAAATTTCCGATCATTAACAGCTCAAAAAACCCATTTTTAATTGCAGCATTATTTTAATTGCATTTTCTTTTTAATTGTATAAAAATAATTAGAAGATAATTTTAGATAAAAGATTATTTCTTCTGGGTAATAAAAAAAATAATATGAGAGAACCAGAGGAAACAAAATAATAAGAATTTATGTTGTGGTCATAATGAAGTTATCTATGAAGAATTTCCAATCACCAATAGTAAAAAACATTCAGTTGTATCAAAATAATTGCAAATAAAAGTTAAGAAAAAAAATTACTTGTGGGTAGGAAATAATAGGAAAAAAATAAATCAATAAAATAATAAAAAATTATCTTGTAGTCATAATAAAGAACTTACAGTTATGACTGTTGATGATTTAAGATAATATATTCTTTCTTTTATGTAGAAAAGAATATGAAAAGACCAGAGGCAACGAAATAATAATAATATATCTTGTGGTCATAATGAAGTCATTTATGAAGAATTTCCAATCACCAACAGCTAAAAAATATTTTCAGTTGCATAACGCTAATCGTTGTTTTTTTGTCTCTCTGTTTCTCCTCTCGTAGACTGTTGAGCTTTAATATATGTACGGTAAGTGTGTACTCAGAAATGGAATGATGTAACAAGCCTCGTTTCATTTCAATGTCACATTTGATCGTTAAATTGCTCGGCAGTTGAACAGGAAGTGCAATTATATGATTGGGACGATTCGCGAGGGCCCAAGTCTTCTGTGAGAACCAAATTCCTCTCCATCCCTTATATTTGCATAAAAAAATAAATAGATTGAAAGGATTTTTATCGTACGGGCGATCGTTTACGAAACTGCAGTTCATCATCTTTTATACGATGGGTCTTTGTGTAGTGAGAGACGCGGGCGTTGTTGACTAATTGGATGAGTTGGAAGAAGGGAACGGTTTGACGGGTTAAACGGTGAAAGGTCAACTCGGCGTTTAATTTAATGATGGTCGACGATTGCGGAAGGTACTCACAGAAACCGCTGAAGGTGATGAAACCGGCCACCATGAGGACGGGATGCAGGTTGAACTGTTTGCTGAGGTCTTCGCGCCACGCGAATCCATTGTGGTAGTAGATCACCCAGAACAGGGTGAGAGCTAGTGAACCGAGTAGCAGCACGCTGGCCAGGACCACCACCATCGTGTATTCCAACCAGCTACCGCAGCCCCATTCGTTCTCCTCCTCATAGTGTCTGTGTCTGCAAAAGAAACAACAATATTTATTATTGCATCAATTGAACAATCAAAGTAGAACATTTAGATTATTTTGTGATTAATTGTCAAAAGAAATCTGTTAAGAATATATTCACACTTTGCGCAACATGAGACGTTCTCAATCCTATCAGTGACAGCTGCAATTACACACCATACTGTCATACGTTGGTATGTCTGGAACAATTATATATAAACAAAACTCGAGAATCCATTTAGAAAATTTCAATGAGAAAGTAATACTCTGATAATTTTTCAATTGATATTATAGAAGACATTACCACAAGGATTCCAAAATAGAATTCATTCGCATTATAATTCAAATTAGTAAATACATTTGTGTACTTTTTTTTTCTTATTAAGATTATATGCACTAACTTCTCAACTTAGGACTAACTTAATTTACGTCCATTTACAAAACATATAACAAATAAACCAGATATAAAAAAGTCTACAAAAAAGCAATGATTTTACAACTGTTTTAGTGAAATCTTTCAATTGATTCTCAATTGGTTTTAACTCAATATTATCAGTAACAGCTGTAATTAATTATACACCATATTGTCATGTGTTGGTATATCTGGAATAATTATATATAAACAAATTTAACTAAAATAAATATTCCAGACAGTACGGTTTAAATATTTAAAAACAAACTAACTTTTAATTGATAAAAGTGAATTGATAAAAAATGGTACAAACAAATATGTATAAATGATCATTTTGTCTTCTCTATACAAACAAGTATGTGCTTTTAAAATTCAGTTTCTAACAGTGCGGGATATTGACCATTTACCCGTACTATAAGAGGTACTCCAGTAATATCAAAAGTTAAAACGATTCAAGATTTGTGTAAATGTTTTCACTTTTTGAAATCTAACGACCAAAAAAAATCATATTTTCTATAAATAATAAATCAATTTCACTGTTATCATCAATTACATATATTTTTATTTCTATGAATTTCGATTTACAACGAAAAGTGATTGCATTAAAATACATAATTAAATAATTAGAAAGAAAATGAAATTCACATTTTAATGACACGGTAATTTCATTAATTTTTAAATCGAACGGGAAAAGGAAATAATAGTAATAAAATGAAATTGCTTGTGAAATTATTTGCAATGAAACTAAATTGACTCATATTTTAATTCGTTTCAATCAAATGGAAATTAGGAAATAATAATAATAAAATAAAATTACCGGTGAAATTATTTGCATTGAAACTAAATTTGACTCATTTAAAATTTTTGAATGAGTTTGTTCTAAAAAGTAAACGCTATTCTAGCAATATGATTCAATTATAAGTGTGTACATGCTACCCGTTGACCCAGAAACATTAATATTTGCATTGCACTTAATTGTACATAGTTTTTAGTAGCCAAATTTTATGAGCAAATAGAGGTCAACAAAATTGATAATTTTGAGTTGAAACATTATTTTCTTTTAAATGAAATAATATGAACGTTTTGAGCAAAAGTAAACGCCTTAGTTCTTCTTCAAAGTTTTTAGTAAATTCTAAATTTTGATAAAGTTTTTTTTTAACAGTTATTTAGTCTACAAATAAAGTTGACTGGACAGTTTCGATTATTAAGTATTTGTCCAAATTACGCCAAGTTTTCAAAAAATTATGTTTTTTTTGCCACTTTACAACAAATGAAATATGCGCATAAACACAAAAGTACTACTACGTTGAGACTGAAAAGAAGGCAAAAAT